ACAGAAATTTTGACGACTTAGCAGAAACTTTGACATCTGACTTTTACAACCACTTGTTCTCATATTTCATGACATTAGATATTTTCAAAGTTCAATCCAAGACAAATTCCACATACCGAAGAGAGACAAACATTGTTAGAAAGCAAACCAAGAGTGTATATGAACTGTTCATAGATGAAACTGACTTTGTTTTTAGATGAAAAGTCATTTGGATATAAAACAATATTGTCAAAGATATGGTTATATGCAGTTCTAAACGAACATTCTTGGCAAATGTCAAAGTCTTTTAGACGTTACAGGAATGGTGTATATACAAAGAAAATTTTTCTGAGTAAATTTAAAAAAAAATATTTTTTTATCCGATATGAAAAGATGACAAATTCATCTCAGTAACAAGTACATGTCAGGACTTAAAGAAGAACTAGACCCATTCACATATTTGAATGTTTTACGTTCTACCATTTGAAAAGTCTTCATTCAGCAAGTTTGGAACATCGAACCTAGTTAAGTTTGCTATTGTGACTAAAAATGGTGGCGAAATTGAAGACTTAACATAGAAGGTTTGTTACAGTCAAAGAAAGTTTTGACAGAAGGTTCTCAAACCTTAAAGAAGGCAAAGCATACAAACTTGTTATAACCTTATGAACCAAAGAAGACAGACGACATGAATATTATGAGTCTAAAGTTGTGAAGTTCAAGGTAAATTGGGTAAAAGATTTTAGAGTCTAAGCCAGTGTATTACTCCTAAAGAGGAAGAGAAACATTGACATTGACCCAGAAATGTTCTAAAATAAATTTTATTTTTACATGTCCATATCTCCCCTTCTCTGGAACTGGTTCAGGTTCTTTCTCTCTCTTCTTTTTTTCTCTTTCTTTTCTTTCTTCTTCTTTTCTGGTGGAGTACGTCAAATTTCTCAGAACCATATTTGTGTAAAAGTTCTTTGTTCCTTTAATAGCTCATCTATTCCTGTTTCTATTTCATCTTCAAGAACAGGCATGTGTCTTCTTTGCATTCTAAGAATTTTGTTGGACTTCATCTTTCCAGATGCGCGTCATCTCTGTCAACAAGTCTGTCATTGACAAATTTTAAGACTCTCTCTGTAATGGTTTATGTCTTGTCATATTCCCCAGAAACAAGAACTTTAGAACAAATTCACCTTTCTTGTTTACACTATGTAAGATTTATGTGTCGACAGATGGTTTGCTGTCAAAAGTTTGTCTCGAATATAGATAGCGAATCGCTAGACATTTTTCTAAAGAAAAAAATTTTAATTTTTCTAAAAATAATGTTAGAAAAAAGTTTGCTGACATGACAAAATTGAGAATGTTTTGAAAGAAGAACAAGGTGAAGTTAGAAAAATGCTCAGATAAAGCCTATAACAGACACAGTTCTTATTTGCTCAGAAATGGTATAACAGGTCTAATTGCCACCACCTGGGTCTGGTAAGACTTTCACTTTATCTTAAAATGCTGCACAACAACAAGAACTAGATGAGAAGAACCCATTCATGAGTTAGTATGTACTTTTAGTACTTCCGGTCAATTGACCAACCGTCAATTCGTTCAAAGATATTATAAAGAAGTCGAGTTTAGTATGTATATAAGGATTACTGATGTTTAGATTGGATAAAGAAGTACCAAAGAAGAGTTTTGAAGTAGTAATGCTATAAATGAGTATATAAATTCTAAGTTTTAAAGACCTAAAATGAGGAAATGCAGAGAATATTAGAGAAAGAAAACACTTCAGAAACAAACAGAAAAGAGATAGAATACATTTCGAAGAAATTGCAATCTTACGAAGGAAGACTTACCCTCATAGATGTCTTCTATCTTTAGATGATTTGCCTTCTTCATCCTTTGTTTAAAGAAAAGAGAACAAGATATGTGTCGAATTCTTAAGAAGCTCAGACACTTTAACATCTCGTCGTAATATTGGTTACAGACAGCAAAGAGTTTATAGTAAGGATGTAAACAAATACTTACTGACATAATACTTTTCCCCGGATTGTCGAAGACGATTTCATGGAACTTATGAAAGAGTCCATGGCAGGAATAAGTTTGACAGACATGAACTATGGAGGAGTGACAAAGTCATACCAAGACCCTACATACTTCTTCAGAATTCATATCTATGCGAACAAAGTTTCAATTGTAAATGTCAAGACTTGAAAAAAAAGGAGTGGCATCTACCACTCATACACTTGTTAGTTGATAGGATGTACAAAGAAATGACTTGACTGCTTATATTCTTCTTCCAGTAACTGTTAAGTCTTCTTTGAATGTTAAGTATTGTACAACCTTTAATATCATAGTGTGTTTGAGGTAACGTATCTTGAACTATTTGTTTCACATCTTCATTTGGGAGTCATTGAAATCGGTAAGTTTTTCGCGATAGAACCAATTTCTGTCAGATTTGTAAATCTTAGCAAGGTCGTAAAAGCTTTTTGTTGTTTTTATTCTGACTAAATGCAACATAACCATATCTTCTGTGTCTTCACATTATTCTTCCAGTATAATCATATACTTATAGTTCTTTTCCTTACTTTTGGTACCGAACGTGGTATTCTTTTCATGAATGCTTTTGTCTTTTGCTTCCAAGCTTGTTGTTCCATCTCTCCCACTGTCTCGGCTTTATATAGGTTCATTCTAAACATCATGAAAATATAAAAGACAGCATAAACGAGGGAAGCCCCACATTGGCTACAGCGTTTTACTAAAAGTCTATTGATATAAAACCATTTCCAAACCGGAGGACAAATTCTGACGATTTTCGTACGAACTCTTCTCTCGTGTTTTCGAGGGAAGCAATCATATGAGGAAATTCTTCTAAAAGTTCTTTTGTCTGTCTGGTATTTTCAAAACAATGATTATGCTTGCTTTGTAGAACGAAGAGCATTCATTATACTTTGCATTTGGTTACATATATCGTCTTTGACTGAACGAATGAGATGTAACTGTTTGTTATACTGTATTGTTACTCGTATTCTTCATTTATAGCTTCATGGACTATAACTGTTGTTGTGTTCTCTGATGTTGACATTACTGTTCTTACATACAAGATAAAAAATTAGAAAAAATAAAAACTAACTTTATTTTTATCTTTTATGAAAATTCATGAAATTTAGTCATTTTTCAGCAAAAATATAATTTAGGTGAAGAGGTGAGATTTCACCTCTTTTTTCACCTGTTTTTTCACCTCTTTTTTCACAAGCGTTTTACATGGTAAATGTTATTTTTTAAAATTTGTGAAAACTCAACGGTTTGACACATGCCCTAAAAATTATTTTACTCAGAATTTTGTGCTGAATTCAATAAAAATATATTTTAGGTGAAGAGGTGAGATTTCACCTCTTTTTTCACAAGCGTTTTACATGAATTGTACGATGTATATTTGAAATCCTAAACAATTTCGTAGCTTCTATTCTTCTATTTCTTCTTTTAGTACATCGAATGTTTTAACAATGCCGAAGGTTTCTTTATACTTCTTCTTGACGTCAGATAGAAGGAAATCGTCAGCAGTTGGATAGTTTTTGTTCAGAAATGCTAACATGTCCATTTAATTTTCTGCTGGCTTTTCTGCTTCTTTCTTTAAGTCTGCATAGTCGTTTCGCATTCTTTCTATCTCTTTGACTGAGTAGTTATATTTTCTTATTGCTGCCTTACATTTTGAACATTGCGGCATCGTTTTTGCGTTATACATTGAAACATTACCAGCTAGAACAACTAAGGCGTCAATGGCTTTCTTTAAATCTGAAGCAGTTGGTTTTATCTGTTCATTCCATACCTTACCTCTTCTGTCTTTATCTCTTATCTGCCATACACATTTTGCAACTAATGAAACAAAGTTGTCGTATGTCTTAAACTCCCCAGATTTATATATGTCAGAGATGTTCTTATATACCATGTCGCAATCTTTGTCCATAACTTTATGGTTGCAATGAAAACCAAGGAATTCATAATTTACTTTACGTATGAATTTCTTAATTTCTACTGAGTCAGTTGCTTTGACTTCAATTTCGTCGAATTCAGGAATAGTTAGTTTTTGCTGATGAATTTCAGGTAGTTTAGGCAAATGGTCGATGAGGTCCTCCATTTCATAAAGATACTGTTCATTTGTTTCATCTTTCGCACTACAGTCTAAATTACTTGTTAAAAGTTCTTGCTTTATCTTCTGGATTTCTGTTTCAAAAGTATATGAAGAAGGAATAAAGCTTTTCATCTCTACCAACATTGACGTAGGATTCATGACTAACGAGTTTGGTGCTGTAGTTGTTTGAATTGTTGTTGTGCCGATTGTTGAAATCATATCTTTTATACAAAATAAAAAAATAAATAAAAATAAAACTAACTTTATTTTTTCTATCTTAAGGAAATTCATGAAAATTCATGAGGGTGAAAAAACAGGTGAAAAAAGAGGTGAGATTTCACCTCTTCACCTAAACATTATTTTTGGTGTAAATTTCATTGACTGACTGACGGCACAAAGTGGCTTAACGAAAACATTAATATATAAAATTCATGAAAATTCATGAAAATTCATGAAAATTCAAGAGGGTAGAAATGAGGTTAGATCTAACCATCTACCCTAAACATTATTTTTGCTGAATTCAGCAACAAAATGAACGAGGTCAGGATGTATGTAAATACCTTTGAATTCATTTATAACGCCCTTAGTAAGCTCATAAAATGCTTGTTTTGAGGTTGAGCCACTTTTGGCTCCACCGTATTCTTTCAACCAAAACTCAAGAATTTCCTGCATGAATTTTGTATAAAAAGCAACAGTCCGAATTCCGGTGGTTGCTATATTCTTCACAAAATGCCTTATAATACTCTTCCCAGGACTTATTTTCCAACAACTTTCTAAAGTCTTTCCTAAACTGACTGACTGACTGACGGCACAAAGTGGCTTAACGAAAACATTAATATATAAAATTCATGAAAATTCAAGAGGGTGAAAAAACAGGTGAAAAAAGAGGTGAAATCTCACCTCTTCACCTAAATTATATTTTTTGGTCCGGGAACAACTTTCTCTCAATTGGAGCTGTAGCATACTCTTTGCGTAAGCGGTTCAGACCTTCTTCGAAGTCTTGGTCTCTCTTCGATTGAGATTGGAATTGGAATTGCTGGGGTGGAGCTTGCTGGAACAACCAAGGGTTGGGGAAGTAAGGCATAGGCTGAGGAGGGTAGTTCGGGAAGCCTTGTGGTGGGTAGTAACCTTGAGGTGGAAATTGGTAGTAATTCGGAGGTACTTGCTGGAACTGAAGTTGCTGAGGAGACTGTTGTGGTTCTTTAGGTTCCTCTGGTTTGGGAATGGACTCGGTTGGTGGGACGTCAGTCATCCGTTTGTGGCTTAACCGTCGGACCACAACGATAAAAATCTCTGCTACTAGCAGTACTTTTACTGACAGTAGCAGTACTTTTACTGACAGTAGCAGTACTTTTACTGACAGTAGCAGTACTTTTACTGACAGTAGCAGTACTTTTACTGACAGTAGCAGTACTTTTACTGACAGTAGCAGTACTTTTACTGACAGTAGCAGTACTTTTACTGACAGTAGCAGTACTTTTACTGACAGTAGCAGTACTTTTACTGACAGTAGCAGTACTTTATCGTCGAAAACCCTCTCAAATTTTCCTTTTTACTGACAGTAGCAGTACTTTTACTGACAGTAGCAGTACTTTTACTGACAGTAGCAGTACTTTTACTGACAGTAGCAGTACTTTTTCTGACAGTAGCAGTACTTTTACTGACAGTAGCAATGGTCGAGGTCGAACCTACTGACGAGGCAATTTACCTCATTGAACTTAACGAGCTTGTTAAAGACTTCCTCAGGCAGAATGTAAAAGGCAAGCTTGTTAACGGTTGGATAACGGGAAAGTCTACACTTCAGCTCGAGATTTCGACTGGAATTCCAATTGAGGTACCAGAAGGCACTCCTTTCGACGACATAAAGCAAGCAAAGAAAGAAGCTCTTCTCAAGTTCTTTGCAAAGCGCCCATGGATACAACTTCCAAACAGAGAGAGTCCAATTCCACGAATTATACAAATTCTCAGAGCACTGTTCCACTTCTCGGGTCAGCCGTTCTACATAACCTCAGAAGGCGACATCCAACCAGTTCAGTAAACATCTCATTTTAACTCACTTTTTTATGTTTTTTGTGAAAGTGTCAAAAATAAATTGTTTTCATGAGTTTTCTACGATGTTAGAAAAAATGTTATTTTCTAATATCTTCACATTCAATACTTTTTCAGCACTTTTCCGTAGTTATATATGAAAGACAATTCGAGATAAAAGTCATAGTACAATGGAATAATATGTTGCACACCATTTGTTGTGAACCAAACTTGAAAGTCAGAGAAACTGTTACTAGTGGTTCGGTAGAATTTAGAAGCAAAGTCATAAAGGTCCTTACCAATACATAGAAAAACTATTGTTGCTTGAACTGAAACTTGCATGACACATACATTTTGAGGGTCAAACACGTTTCTATAAACCATCAAATCTGCTGGTGGAAGTATAAATTTAAATGGACCATCTGGTGGTAAGTTCGTTCTGGTTTAGTAACCGAAGAAATTGTGCCCAAGAACGTTTGTCTACTTCCCAAAATAAAAACTCTGTATCTCTTGGAGGGTTAATTTCAATCTTTTGAAATGAAACGGTGGAGTTCATCTTGTCATATTCTAGTTTCAGATAGTATGTTCCATTTAGTAAAGAGTCGTATTTTTCTTAAATTCCCAATAATATTTGTTCATTTGAGTTTGAAAGTCATCTAGAGTTTTCTCAAGACTTTCGTCTGAACGAACTGTAAAGATTCTCATTTCGTCAAATTTGTCTATTAGACCACCAGGACCTTCATACTGCCCATGAAAAATATACTGCGAACATAAATGCGTTAGTTCTATTTGAAACAAAAACTCTTCTAAATCCTATTGCCTTTGCATCTGAAGGACTTTGAAGCCAACGAATTGGATAGTCAAACCTGTATGCTCGGGATGAAATTTCTTCATCTGAAATAGTCCTACCAGCATTTGTAAAGATATAGTCTAACGGTTTGTATCTGCTACTTTTGTTCTTTGTTTTTCAACCTGAAGCATTTAATATATGTAAAAAATATATTGTTTTAAAATGTATGCCATATAGCTTCTTGAATTTGTTAAGAAGTATTTGAACGTATTTTCCATCTGTATCTCTAGTGTTTACATAAGCATAGCCCGCCTTAGATAAAATATACTTGTAATTTCCTATAGTTTACGCCGGTATAAAATAGAAAGAGTCTTGTTCTTCGCTATTAGTAGTTAAAACTCAAACGTATGCTTGCCATAGTCTGTAATTTCAATTGTTTCTTTCTTTAGTTCGTCGACAAATTCGAATACAATATCTCCAAATATTCGCCTTGTCTATTGTTTTCAGAACGAGTGACCCAACGTAAGTTTTCAAGTCTATTTGTCGTTTCTTATATGGTTTATATGGTCTACAAAAGGTAAATTGTTAGGATTCAGTATAAAATGAGTTACAATGACAACATGTTTAAATAGTGTTTTCCACCCATCTTCATAATAGCATATCCGTCATTTCGCTCCCATTCGCTAAAACTCTTTTTGTCTTTTTGTTTCTGACTTCAAATGACTCACAACAGTGAATTTCATATTTCTCATCTAACAAACAAGTTTCCCAACGGTCTTCTCCAACAAACTCAGCGTACATTTCAAATAAAATAAAAAAAGTCACTTTTTTAAAAAACGTTTTTACTTCATGCAATGTTTTATTTCTGTGCCGTCTTCAAGTATGCCCCAGTACTTACGCTTGGAGAGGACATGAACTTCGGAAAATACCTTATCTAGCTTTAAAACAGCCCATCTTTTCACCGACCATTCCCATTTCAATGAGTTTTGTTATAGCCTTCTTCGTTCGTCATGAGTGCGTCATGTTGTCATAGTAAACCTTCACTTTGGATTTGACTTCGGAGAAGAATTTGTTGTAGTTGTCAAGGACTGCCTTTGCGAAAAGAGGGTAAGACCAATGTTCGACAATAGGTTTTTAATGTGGTTACTAAGCCACTTTGACCTTGAGTGAATTCGTACTTCAAAACAAAGAGAAAACCTTTCAACAAAGTTGTTCGACCTTCTCATAATGTTTATTTCTCCTCTTGAGGTTTCTTAATGGGAATATCCCCATGTCGAATTCATAGCAATTTGGGTGTCATTGCAGAGTTTGGGGTTTGGAAGCTTTCCTAATATCATACAGTTTGTTGTATGACTTTTCCAACTGTATAGTTCCTTCCCGGGAACTCACATTCTTCGTTTGGAATTCCAGTCGGAATATATTGGACAAACCTCATGTATGCAGCGTTAAGGTTCGACATAGTATATCTTTTCATCTAAGTCGAACTTGTCGCAAACCAATTGGTCCAGTTTGGTGGAAATTCAAGTGAGTCTCTTATCTTCTGAGAAACTTCTCCTGTTATCTCATAAACATCGTCGAGCAACCTGTTTCATATAAAACCTTCTGACCTAACTCAGATGCTCTCCAATACAATTTGAGACGTCAATTGGATGTCTCAATGGAAGTTTGTTTATAGCATCTTGAAGTTCTTTGCAACCTCATTGGAAGTTCTTCTGGTTCAGGTTGTGACACGAACATACCAACCCCTTGTGGAACTGTGTACTTCTTTTGTACTAGAACTTTTGTCTGGAACAACTTTTGGTCTTGCTAACAATGAAAAGTTTGTTTCGTCTTTTGGTACAAAAGTTTCTGTCAGCTTGTCATCTGGAATTGTGTACTCAACAACCTTTCTCGAAAAGAATGTTTACAGCTCTGACAATGTTGCACTTATCTTTACCAAAGAATGGGTTTGTAAGACTTTCGTTCAACATGAAGTGTTGTGGACAATTACAATCTTCAACCATGGTAAGTCTTTGTCAACAACAATAGTCGTCATGTGAAGAACCTTTAGCTGTAGGTATGTTAATCGGATATTGACATTTGCCAACGGTGCAATTTTTGCATTGACCTCTGAGAATGTACTTGTCTTCACACATGACTCAAGATACTTCATCTTCTCTTCTGAAACAAGACCAGAGTTCCTGAGACATGTAAGAATGCAAGGTTCGTTGACAATTGTTTCAATTGAATTGTAAATTCCATACCTTGTCAAGTCAATGTCAGACTTATTTATGAACGGGAAGTATCCAGCATGTTGTCTGACTGCTTGAGGGTTAGGTTGGTACCATTCGACCTTGACACTTGCAATTCCTTCAATTGCATTCAAATGTCTGAGTCGGAGTCAACCATTTGTTCTCTCTTTGTAGTCTTGAAAGCGTCAAGAAGTTTTGCGGGCTGTTTGTTCATTGCCATGTGCATAGTAAATGTGACCATCCAAATACATTCTGTTTCTCCTCTGGTAGAAGAAACAATATTCTGGGTCAACTCCTGTGTTGCGTCATCTGCATAAAGTTGTTTATATCCCACTTCAGGGTTTGTATAAACCTCTTTCCATCTCATATTTGCATACCATGGTGGCAAACCTAACGCAGCGTCATTTGACATGGCAGTTTGCATTTGTACATCTGTTGGCAACTTGACCATAGTTTGCCATTGCAGTTTGTATTCTAACTTCATTGGAATATTCTCTGGGTTTGTGTCCAGGTTGCTGTGCATTCGCTAAGTTCTGTGCGTCCATTTAATATTAGATAAAAATATCTCTTACGAGTACATATGCTGAACATTTGAGGCATTGGTTCATCTTCATATTCTCTGTACTTTTCTGCCACGTCAAATAAATAAATGACACAATGGAAAACCTAAACAAGTAGTCCTATTTCAAACCACATTTACTTACTAATAAAATTTCTTTATTGTGACACTTTCTCCAGTTTATAGGACCTTTCTCATATTCTATCTTGTCATATATAAAACTATAGTCATGTATGTCCTCTAACCATCTCATAACGGTTTCCAAACCACTTTTATCGGATGTAAAGTAAAAGCATGGATGGTTATGTATAACGTCTAAAGTTTCTAAAAGAGTCTCTCAAAGTCCAGTCTACTTGGTATTGAAAATCCCATGTGTTATAGAACGGCGGTCCACTATAAAGAAAACATTTTCCTTGTCTTTATATTTTTCATACAACTCTGTCCAATGACATCTCACAAACTCTATACCCTCAATATATTTTTCTATGTCCTCTTTGAAAACATTTGTATAGTTAAGATATAAAACTTTTGACATAAGTGTTTTCAATGTCATGAACTCTTATAGCACCACTATATAATAGTCTAGCAGATATACTATCCCAGTCTAATTATTCTGCTTTTTTTCAAAACTCTCTCACAATATT